TTAAAGTGATATATAGCAAAGGAATTTTGGACGAGGGTTTTGTTCTATTCACAACTTCTCATAGGGATGTAATAACCAAATACTCGTCGTACACGATGTGACTACCATATTTCATTGGCTTGGTAGAAAACGCTATAGTGTTCGCAGCAATTCGTATGACATTCGAGTCTTAGTCCGAACAACATAACTCAGTGGGGTGCAACTACATCCAAAATAGGAAAAAAACGCACATTTTGAATTCTTTTGCTAACCAAAACCAGGTTAATTATGAAACCATATAAGATTCAAAGATTAGCACGTCGAACACAAGCATGTCAGACCAACAAATATAAACATGGAGCATGTTTCACTCAGATTGATCACGAGATTTATTCAAGAGCTGATCATTCACCTTCAATTTATGCTTAATTATAGAGTAGGGAATTTTAATTATTCATTAAACGCGAACTATTCCTCTCACATGAATTATGAAACAACTCCTATCCGGATGATTCACCTCATTTTTATGCGCTATAGAGTGCGCTTTGACAACATTATTTACCACTTTACAATGAGAAATTGATGAATTTATCTACGGAATAACTATTCTGATAAATAGTAAAAATGCATTTCTTGTCGATAGCCTCCGATCAATTTACATTCACCAAAGTGCAACATGATGGTGAGCCTCCTAGCCTCATTGTGAAATGGGCGATAGGATTCGATTAGCATTCACTAGGAGACAATATGAGATAGGTTGCTCTGTAGTGATTAATCAATGTAAGTAACCCTTCTCTTCCACACCTATTCGTTGTATACTTTTAAAGTATCGTATCTGAGGTGCATAATTTTCCTTGTCTATTCTTAATATCTACACCTGTCATAATGGAATGAATTGATCAACCTTTGATAACAGTTCACTTTCAATGTCTAAAGATGTTATGTGTTTTAGTTTTCTGATTTTCCCCAACAGTCTAGACAAAAATTTCTGTCTAGTTTCCTTCTTTTTCCAGTATAACCAATAATGACAAAATACATTTCAACTTTTATCTATCCTCTTCGCAGTCATATGAAAAGACATCAGTGAAATATAAGTGTTTCCTAATTATTCAGCATTTTTAAGTAAATCTTTATAACCATTGTGATTTAGTCCAGTGAAAAAAAATTAGAATTTTTCTCTCTTCTCAATAAATTTTCGATTTATTTTTCAATATGAATAATTAGAGGAGAGATTATTTTTTATCTTTGAATGAATGAAACCAAAAATGAACCCAAATATTTGTATACCTGTTTCGTATGTGAATGTTGATAGAACGTTAAGAGAGTCTACATTACGGATTACTGGTTACTGGCCATAGAACCTGAAGGTCAAGGGTTCGAGCCCTAGCTGGCGGAGTCGTGGATGTGCACAGCTGACGAGTCCCATACTAGGACGAAACAGCTGTCCAGTGCTCCCAGGTTTCCTTTGTTCCTCTAACTGATATAGTGTGAGTGGTAGTAGTAGTGTGAGTAGTAGTAGTAGTAGTGAAGGGAAAGAAGACAGAGATGACGGAATGAATGTTCATTAATAAATCTGGTAAAGTAGTCATCATATGTAGTACGTCTTGCACTAAAACAGTCATTTGCATAATGTGCTTCATTTTCTTTTCTGCTACTGACTTGGTTCGCTCTTAATATGGCCGCGTTATCTCTTGCGTTTCTCTCAGCAGAATCCTTACCCACTGCAGGTAATTTTCTATGATTTCTACCGCCCATTCTTATCATCAATGCACAGTAGTAGTAGTAGTGGTAATGGAAGTATTATTATTGTTATTACTAGTAGAAATAGGGTAAAAAACCTTCCATTAAAATTGTAATTTGTATAATGTGCTTCGGCTTCTATTTTGATTTGCTCTTAATACACCTGCGTTATCTCTTGTGTTTCTCTGGGCAGAATGTTTACTCTTTGCTGGTAATTGCCTATGATTTCTCCCACCCTCTCAACATATACTACATTTATCCATTCTTATCCGTAGTACGCACCACAGTAGTAGTAGTAGTAGTAGTAGTAGTAGTAGTAGTAGTAGTAGTAGTAGTAGAAGTATCATTATTATTATCATTAGTAGTAGTAGAAAATAAGCACTTATGAGTGATCATAATGAAACAATATACATCATGTGGTGTTGATGGTGTTGGAAATGTGAATGGATGCCTAAAGGTGATGTTGACTAATGGCAGACTTACATCTTGCATTAAAAGAAGTTGGAAAGAAAAAGTCAATGAATGCCAGATCAATGATTGAAGGGTCTCCTATATTCGGTACCGTTTAAAGTCATTGTTACCTTCTGCTAGGCAATTGCTAATGCTATAGAGGGCTTTCTCGATTTCAGTGACTTTGTCTCTGATGACAGCTTGTCACACAGACAAGATAAAATACAGGTTACTCTGGTTATTCGTAATATGAAATAGAATTTGTATTGATTGGTCACGAGAGTGCAACCAATTTCATGTTGTCCAGTGCTCAGTGCAGACAAAATCTTATCGATCATATTTGTAATGTGGCAACCAAGCTAGGAAGCTCAGTATCGCGGTGCACATTGGTAGATGTTAGTTGGTTGGAGGCAATCGGCAGGAAGTCCTGCTTTTGGCACTCGCCAGTAAGGCATATCTGCAACCTCGATAGAACTCATGTCCCGCCTGAGATTCGATCCCACGTCACCCAGTGTTTTAGTCAGAAACTTCACCACTGAGTTATTCGAGCCGCTATTGGCCTCCTGTAGGACTTGCTTAAATGTATTGATTGGTCAAGGGAGTGCAACCAATTTCATGTTGTCTAGTCCTGAGTGCAGACAGAATCTACTAATGTGCACGGCGATGCTGGGCTTCCTAGCTTGGTTGCCACATTGCAAATATGATCGATAGGATTCTGTCTGCACTGAGCACTGAACAATATGAAATTGTTTGCCCTCCCGTGACCAATCAGTACACGTAAGCCAGTCCTACAGGTGGCCAATCGCGGCCTGAGCAACTCAGTGATGCAGGTTCGAATCTCAGGCGGGAAATCAGTTCCGTTGAGGTTGCAGGTACGCCTTGCTGACGAGTGCTAAAAAGCACAAAACCAAGTTCCAGGGTCTCCTCCCGATTGCCTCCAACCAACCAACAAAATAGAATTTGGATGTTATTGTATTTAGTTAGGGAATAAAAAAACAGTACATGATTACGCTGATGCAGAATATTTGTAGTTCAGGAGGATGACTTTGATTAGATTGTATTCCCTTAGCTGAGTGCTTAAATTATGAAGCTTTCATTGTTATTCTAGACAACATTACCAGCATAAACTTCCAAGAGTAAGCCGCAGTGTTTTCTCCACATGTAGCTTAATAGCTTACCCTGATGGATTACTATGTGATTAACTGTATCTGGAGAAATGTGGAAATCCTGATTAGATAGAAGAAATGCAAAAAATGTCAGAGAATTTCTAGGAGCTTGGTATTCACATCAGCCAGTGATCAACAGACATACTGATACCGACCGAATCTATAAAATGATAAAAAAAGACTGGAAGGTCAACATTTACGTCAATAGGACAACCAATCGAAATAAATATAGAGACAATGAGAAGACTTCTGCGAAAACAACGAATTGCACACTAGATCATCAGGATAAGCTACTCAGCCAGTTGTACAGATAACCCCGTAACTCACTTCTTTCAGAAGTTTGTGCTGATGATGTTGTCTAGAATGACAATGAAAGCTTCATGATTTAACCGTCCATCTGAGAGAACACAACACTATCAAAATCATACTCCTGAGTAACAAATATTCTTCATTATCTCATGTTGTTCATTTATTTGTATTTTGAATAACTGTTGCCGTACCTAGTAAAGGATAACAGGACTTAAAATACTAACTGCTGACTGAAGTCTGTTAATCAACTTTAACAATTCAACTACCGAGCTCTAAAACTCACTATCGTAGAATGTTTCTTATTGGCCTAATACAATCAGAGACAGAAACCATTGTTTTCTTTCAAGTTGTTATTCATCGTAGACTGACATCAGTTAGAGGAACAAAGGAAACCTGGGAGCACTGGATAGCTGTTTTCTCCTAGTATGGGACTCCTCAGCAATGCGTACCCACCACCCCACACCACCAGCAATCGAACCCGCGACCTTCAGGTTCCGCAGCCAGCGCGTTACCATTGAGCCATTGGGTCACAATCCAATGCTCCATATTTACAACTTCTGTTAGCTCACGATATATAGCACAACCGCCACCCAATGTCAACGCTAAGTATCTGTGCTCATGGCCATCAGGCTTTGACTCCACCGGTCACTACTTCTCATTGGAACTTGGGGAATACTTCTCCAAGCTAGTCACCAATGAGCACGAGTTGAATTAAATTTTGAGGGAGTTGTGTCCAGTGCTCCCAGGTTTCCTTTGTTCCTCCAACTGATGTCAGTCTACGATGAATAACAACTTGAAATAATTCCAAATCTCTACAACTCCCTCAAAACCATTGTTTTCGTCAATTGATGGAAGAGAATTGATATAACCTACTATATTATTTTTTGTTGTTGAAAATACTTCGAGTTACTGCTAGCAGTAGCTAGCAGTCGGATTCAACATATGTGTTTCGTCCCATTTTGAACTCTTTAGCTAGATGTATATTCATCCCAATTAGTGATATTGTTTGTACTAACACTCAAACCTAGAACTGATTAGTTCAAACATCAAAAGGTTAATCAGTCCTGCTCTATTCAGGAGGATAAGTTCAGCATAATCAAAGACATTAAAAATACTATCTAAGTTATACTCATAGTCATCAGGATAGTTACCAGTAAGATATTCATAAAGTAGCTTATAGCGAAAAATATACTTTGATAAAATAGAAATACTATGACAGTAACTATTACATAACTTACGTTATCTTTTTTAAAAATAGTAAGATTGATTGAGATAATCAACGAAATTGTCAGTGAATATTCTTCCATTCATATATCAGACTTATATTTTCCATGTTTCAGGTAATACTTTAAATGATTAAGCGTACTTATATAATTTATTGTTACAATGAAATATCTGATTATTTTTATTAGAATTATTTCCATTACACTGTATAGGATTTATTGTATTCATTGCCATACATGTTGATAATGTTGGTGATGAGAATTCAGTTATAATTTGTTTAGGTAATAAATCAGTTGATAGTGTTGATATGTAATTCTGTTTATCTGTTGTTGTATATACACTATACTGACCATAATTAGATAATTCATTAGAGTGATTTATTGTCTGTTTATTAAGTAAATTATTACATGTTGTATTAATAAAAGCTGTAGTAGTAGTAGTAGTGGTAGTAGTAGGATTCAATGATTCAATATTCGTAGAACTGATTGGAAATGTTGATAAAGTAATTAAAGGTATATTTGGTATTAAAGAATAACCATATGTATCTACGTTTGGTATAGTTATCTGTTTTAAATTGAAAAATTGTTGTTGTATATTATGTAGGTCAAAATTTTCATGTGTTTGTAGAGAATTAGGATTAATAGAGATATTTTGAATTACAGGATGCTTATAATTGGTCATTGGATTATGGCAATCAAGAAATTGTGTATTTGGAATATTTGGAATAATACTGAAATCTGACTTTTCTGGATGATAACTTGAAAGATGGAAAAAAAATGAAATAAAAGGTAATCATGAAGATTAGTTGTAGAGATGAAAATAAAGTGTAATGCCAAAGGAAACTCTCAACTTAGATGATAATCCGCTAGGTGACACCTTCAATCATTACTCAGTATCAAGTTGATGCTTCTACTCTGTAATTCAAGTATATTTGGATTGATATGAGAAGTCCTGACTTGGCAACCTGTGTGAATACGGTCAAGTGATAGGTAAAGTATTACGAATCCATATGACAGTCAGACAAAAGTTGTTAATGATCATAGTAAGATTAAAATCTGGTCAGTAATTGTGTTTCGTAGTTCACTGGGTTGGGCACCCAAACGGTAACCCATAGGTCACTCATTTGAATCCTGACGCTGACCAGATTTTACTTTTGCCTTCAATTACTACTTGTTATCATTCATGTTCGCTTAGTTCATAAGTTGTCGAATTCTACAACAAGAGTAAGACAAGACTGTCTACTATCACCCATGAACTTCTTGATTGTGGTCGACTGGATCATACAGTAAACCATGAGGAGCGACAAAATTGGCATACGCTGGCTGGACCGCTGAAAAGAGCTGAGAACATTTAGATTTCGCTGATCATGATTTATGTTAAATGTCGCACAAACTCGAAGATCTATAGGCGAAAACAAACAAGTTAGTAAGAGAGGCAGGGTAGCGAAAAGGGGACTTCAAGTGAATGTAGAGAAGATGGAGATGATGAAGATACCCAACCAACAACAGCATCAACAACAAGCACCAATCACCATGAACCGGAGAAATCTGAATGAAGTAGTCGCTTTCGCCTACGTAGGAGGCAACATCGTTCCAACTACTGGCGGTATAAGCATAGACGAGGATGTCAAAATCAGTCAGCATCGGAAAGACAGCAAGACTGGAGTTCATCAACCTGAAACCAGTGTGAAGATCTTCGGCTCTCAGCACAAACCCTGAACAATATCCCGATTTTCAACACCAATCAAGTCAAGTCAGTACTGTTATATGGTTCAGAAGCTTGGCGCGTCATGGAAAGCATTTCTAACAAACTGCAAACATACATCATCAACAACTGCCACCTACGCTCGCCCACTCACCCAATACTGAAAATGAGATCAGATGGCTAGAATAATAAGAATAAGCAACAAGGAACTCACTCTGACAACGAACCAATGAAGCAAGAACCTATCACCCAACAAATATGCAGAAGAAAGTGGAAATGGGTTGGATTGGGCACACACTGAGAAGGCCAACTGGGGCATCATGCACCAGGCCATGCCATTGAGTTGAATCCGAAGGGGAAACGATGAGTTTGGCATCTGAGGCAGGGTTGACGTGGAGGCGATCATGTGGGGAAGAGATGAGAGGTTTGCGGACAGTCGTGGAGCCAGGTTGAAAAGATTTCAGAGAAGAGAGTGGAATGGAGATGTGCTACTGAATCCCTATGTTCCACTAGGAACCCAAGGGACAAATTATAATAATAACACCATAATGGCCCAAATAAATAAATTGGAATCTGAAATTATTTCCTTACCTTTGTACCATAACTAACAGATTTTAAATGAAAACAACTGAGCCATATCTGTGCGTCAGAACTGTCCAGATACTGTTGAAATGACTAAAGCTCCAAGATGGCAAAGTTGTAGTTGCCTAATGTTCACCAGTCTGGTGAAAAACCATGTGAGTATGGAATACGCTTAAAACTATAATTTTGGTACTACATAAATGTACAGAAATGGTGAGGTATGGTATCATATTTGTTGTGTTTTCCGTTTTTTATTCATTCAGCATGGTGTATGACATATGAAATGAAAGAAGTAGCCCGTTTGTCCATAGATATTGCAAGTTGAACGTTTTTTGCGGGAAACCAGAGTTTGAAAGATGCTAGTCTGTTACTTTTAAATCCAGAAATACATTTGCTTCGATTCAGAAGGAAAAGCAGTTTTCTTGTAACAACCATGTAGGAATTGCTTCTAAGATCCTAGAGTCACAGTTGTCCAACACATAACCGGAGCACAGTAACGACATACTGTAAAAAACCAGGCTGCTTACAGACCTGGAAGAGGATGCATCAATCAAATTTCTACCTCACAGCAGGTTCTGGAACTCAGGCATTCTTGCCGGCAGCCGAAACTTGCGTATTCGTTAACCTGAAGGCAGCATTTGACTCAGTCAACCGTGAGGTGTTTTGGAAGTGTCTGACTGTGAAAGGAGTACCAAACAAGCATGTAATGCTTATCACTACTCACAACTCTAGAACTCATGGAGCGGTGTCAGAGCTTATGGAGAGTTGTCTACAGAATGGATGACAATTTATGGAGTCCGTCAGAAATGCGCACTGTAACCATCCTTGTTCAACTTTGTTGTAGACGTACTGAAGGACATAACCTTAAGTATTTCTGACTTCACGGGAGTTGACCTACTCTCTGAAGGTCATCTAGTTGACTTACAGTATCGAAGCGATGTTTTCCTGCTGACAAAATGCAGGGTTTCTTATACGCGTTGAGCAGAAACCCCGTTATGTTTAGAATACTTTTTGCTGGCACCTATCAAATGAGAAATGATGCTGCAGGAGCGGTCTCCTGCAAGTACTCACAGTTTGATGGTAGATGGCTGTTAAAGTGGTTGAATGTGTTGACCACTTCAAATACTAGAAGAATTGCGTCAACCTCAGCGGGTTGGCTTCTGATGTAGCCTCACCTCGGATACAGAAGACTCACTTGGCATTTGCAAACTTGTGTCATCTCTGGAGCCAGTTGATGAGGTATCTGATTACCTATCGGTTGGCGAGTATATTGCAATGCACTATGTTCCCTCTTGCTGTGTGGCTGTGAGACATGACCACAGAAGTAGAAGAAATGAAATGATTACAGGGTTTCATAAATGATGGTATCTATAGAAAGATAACAGATTAACCGAGACCCTTGTTTTTAGACCAGTTTAATAATCTAGAATGTATATGGATATCCGAACCAAGCTGGATTTTATATTGATCTGAGGAATCCGGGACACGCGTTTCGTCCTGTTTTAGACTTATTAACTGGATGTACCTGCATCCCAGTGAGTGATGTTATTCCCACTGAGGCTCGAACCCATTGCCCGTCACTTCAAATGCCAGAGCACGTCTCGTGCATCTTGGGACTCGTAAGCTGGATGCACCTGCGTCTCTCTAATATTGACTATATTTTGCAGTCATGGTCATTAGTTTCATCCAATGAGGCATATTTTAGGTATATAAGATTTGTTACAGTTTATTATCTATGCAGAATGATCGTTGTATTTCTAATAAACACGAATCGATTACGTAATCGATGTGAACTGAGACAGGATATCAGTTTTCCAGTGATCACAGTAGATATTTTATTGCGTCTGCTTCAACGAACAAAAAGATATTCATATATTCTTATCTAGGCAATTTGAACACTTTTGTGGGAATTTATATATTGATTTCAGGTTTGTATTCATCATGGACTAACATCTTTTGCCAAAGAAGATAGAAACCTATTAGCACTGGTAAGCTGTTTGGTCCTAGTATGCGAATCCTCAGCAGCGTGCATTCATGACTCCGTACCACCCAGGCCCTTCAGATTTCGTGGCTTGCACATTTTCATGGAGCCACTGGATCGGAATCCACTGGTGTATATGTCCCACTCCTATCACTTTGCGACATTCAGTGTCGTCGTTTAGTACCTATCCTCACGTCCAGCTTGGTTTATCCCAGAGATCAAGACTTCCCATATGAACTTCGGGAAATCTCATCTCAAAGCGAGTACTAGAATAATTCAGTTTTTATCGAGATACATTTACTGATTTCATGTTAAGATTCATCATTAAGTCAAGGCAGTTGGAGAACACAGTTAGTTTTCTTCACTGTTCCAATTCCACAGGATATATTTCAAAGGTTCATGGTGCAAGTTATCATCGAAAAGGGTTTATAGACATTATGCAATATTGAGGGATTTGTGAAGTGATCAAATAAGCCTTCAGCGGCTCAGTATCCAATGAGTTCGACCTGAATTATATGTCCAAAAGGAGAAAGACAGTAACCAGTCTATCAATGCCTTGAGAATCAGTGATACTTTATTGTTTCACAATACCCAGAATGTTTTTAACGTCTTCATTTTATTTATCTTAGTGACTAGTAGTAGAATCCAGGACGTGCGTTTCATAGTATTTGGGACTTCTAAGCCGTATGTATAAGCACTACAGTGAGTGATACTGTCCCCACTGTAATGGCCCTCCTACCTCAGTGGCCTAGTGGATAAAGCATTGGGATTAGAAACGATGAGTATCGGGTTCGAGTCTCAGTGGGAAAAACATCACTCACTGGGGAGCAGGTACATTCAGCTGGCGAGTTCCAAATAGGAATAAAGGGGCATCCTGGATTCCAATGGACATCACCAACATGAACACAATATCATGGATATTCGGTATTACCCAGGCATTTTTATTCCCATTCATAATCATATTGACTATCGTTTCATTAATAACGTAATGGCTACATCAAGGCGATATTCATCACGGAATGATATGAGTTAGAAAGCCATTGAAAAACTTGGGATTATCGAATAGCTGATTCCTACTCAATGATATTTGTTATTATGATGATAATTCCATCTTTGTGACTCATCATGTTGTGATTACGTAACCGTCTCTAGTAATTTCTAGTCTTGTCTCAATCATTCGCGAAAATTTCTCACCTTGTATTATCCAGCATGTATCTAGTTTGACCATATTTATTACCTTAACCTCCTTTGTGTTCTAAATTGCAATTCATTTTTCGATCTTCCGTACCCTAACTGGTATCCTGATACGTTGGATATAAGGTATGTTAATATTAGTAAAATGGTTTCTCTATATAATTTAGTTAGGTTGGATACAAGTGATGAAAATTCTATCAAGTAAAATGAAGTCATCTTATTCTGCGAATGGTGTCTTCACTATTATTATTTGTCCCTTGGGTTCCTAGTGGAACATAGGGATTCAGTAGCACATC